ATGGCTGAGCGCACCCTAGGGAGAGTCCAGCACCACAGAGAGCCAGCGCGGAGGGAGCAGGCAACAATCACAGGGACACCGCAGCCGACCAGGCTGCCTCATACTGCACTTCTCCCTCCTGCTTCTAAAAACACTCATGTTGGGGTTTTTGAGTGCGTGAACTGGGACGAAAGGAAGGGACGAGAGGAAACTGGGGCTCATCTGCTTCTGGTGGCAGTGAGGAGGGCTGCTCCTCCAGCCCGCACTTCCGGAGCACCGAGAAGCGCGGGGCAGGCAGCATCACCGAGGGCGCAGCAGTGACCAGCGCGGCCCGAAGGAGCCCAGGGCTGGAGGGAGGCCCCCCGCTCTTTGAACTGCTCCAGGTGGACAGAGTCTGCACTCGGTTATTTACGGGAATCAATGTACCAGGAAAGCACACTGAAATGAAACATCTTGTTTTCAAGAGCGTCCTGGGAGCCAGGCAGAATGAGGAGCCATTAATCAAAGCCCGGCACGTAATCAGCACACATGTAACGCAGAGTCGCCCACGTCCCTGAGCCAGCCCCAGCCCGCACGCTGCAGAGGAGAAGAGGTCCTTCAAAGCCCTCTGTGCACAGACACCAGGAGCTGGGTTCATTCACAAAGCTCCATCGCTTGGCTCAGCCAGGTCTGGCTGTCAGAAATGTTTAAATATGGAAAAAAATAAACAGTTGCAACACGTTTTTCGGAGCGATCTGTCCGAGGCCCTTTGTGATGTAATGGGAAACACTGCGTTTGTGCTACCAGCTGGAAAATAAACAGAGCTGCGAGGGTTAAAAGGAACTGAACTTTCCACGACCCCTATCTGCAAAAGAAGAAAATAATAAGAGGAATGATCCACTGCCCCACAGCCCTGATAGTTTATCCTCCATCCCGGGCTGCAGAGACAAGCACCGGATGTGATAGGGCTGCTCTGGGCCACCTCCAAGGCAAGCTCTGCCCATGGGAGATGCACAGGGCTTGGGAGGCTCAGCCCTCCCCCAGTGCCCTGCTGGCAACTGGGCTCGGCTGCCTGAGTCCGGTCACATAGCACTGGTGGGGCCCCACTGGCGCAGGCTGCAACCAAGGCTTGGCTTGGAAGAAGGAGAGGAACGGGGAGAGCACCCGCAACTGCCGGGGAACGAGAGTACCGGGTTGTTGGGGACAGGGACCGATGCAGAGGACGTTCCTGAAGGGGCTGAGACAGCCAAGTGCATGGGGCCAGGGTGGAGGAGAAGGGAGAGAAACACATGGCGGAGACCTCACCTCTATTCCCCAAAAACCAGGGCTGCAGGCAGGGGATGGAGATAAGCAGAGAGGGAGAGAACAGCAGCAGGACGCTGGGCAGGACTGGGATCTGCAGCGGGACAGGGGTGGTGGCAGGGGGAAGGAGCAGCACAGATGGAGCCATCTCCCTCCCCATGGCACCTCGTGTCAGAAAAACGCCACGTGAACAGTCGCCAAGCCCACGCTGCTGACACCCATGCGGTTACCCAGCCCAGCAATCCCCTCTCCTCTCCCATCCCCGGACCCTCCGGCAGCGCAGCCCCTCGCCACCCCCTGCGTGCGACAGCAGTCCCTGTCACTTTATCCCCTTCATCCTCAGCTCCCCGTAGCTTCGCGGTGCCTTGCCACATCTGTCATTCGCACTCGATGTGTCAGGTTTCCACCCTGGGCTTCCTTCAGTCAAACCACAGGCTGTGCCGGCTCTCCGGGTAGCCAAATCCCGCTGCAACGCAACCCCGCGCCGCTCTGCGGCAAAAAAAACCCTCTGGCACACAGTGCCCTGCAGAGCCTTCAAAAAGCCGGCAAAGAAGGTGGTGCCAGCGTTTCTGCTCTGGTTTTCTCCTGCAACGCGGAGGTGGCACCGCAGAGAGCGGGTCTGACAATTTTCTGCCTTCCCCTTGGGTGCAGGTCCCCCTCTGCACTGCATCTCCCACCACCAGCACCACCAAGATCGTTTACCAGCTGCTACCCACCAGCAAAGCCACCGAGGGCTAACGGCTGACGCCAACACCACACTGCCCAGTGGATCTCCTGCTGGGACGAGCGCTCACCCTAGAAGGTCACACAAGCTCCCCAGGACGCTGCTGTGGCCACCTCCAGGCACTTCTGGCTTATGTCACCCAACGGTGCGGCGGTGCCGGAGCCTCCCTGAGAAGCCAAAGCAGGCCCAGGTGCCTGGAAGCATTGCATATGTGCAGTGCCATGGCTTTGGAGTCCCTCTGCGGAGGGAGGTCCTGAATTACTGACACCGAGCCCAGGCATGACGCTCCCAGGTACAGGGACGAGGCTCCCAGAGCTTCTAACCGAGGAAGCGAGAAGGGGGTTAGCGCAAGGTCTCGCCTCAGAACGGGGGTTCGTTCACTTCCCCACAGACACATTTACATTTGCTTATTCCACTAGGGCAGGAAAAAAAAATAAGAGTTAATTTCTTTTTTATTGCCTCAGGATTCCAGGTTTAATGTAGCTGTCAGTGTGAGCGCAGCCCAGCTGCACGCCGACAGGACGCAGCCCGGCCAGGCGATGCTGAGAGCGCCGGCACAAGTGCGCAGCCGAGCGAGCGCGCGGGCTGAAGCGTGGCCCCGGCGAGGCCGGGTCTGTGCCGGGGCGGCTTCTGCCAAGGATGGGATGTCTGCGATGGGCACACATCACCGCAAGGCGAGAAGCACACACCGGGGCAAGCAGACGGCGACAGGGGAGATGGGCACGGGAGCGAGCGTGATGCTCGCTGGATCCCCGCCGGCCGCGGTGCCGTGCGGCGTTCCCGTGCAAGCCACCATCTTCACCGGGGACGCGGGCTGCCTGGTGATTAATATCAAGCACAATGACCCCATGTTACAAGCCTGCGGAGGCCTGTGGAGGTGGCCATTTCCTGTGTAATACCAGCTTGTTTAAACACTAACATTCAAACTGCACAGCTGCAGAACAAACCCGGAAAGCGCAGCGCAGAAGAAGCCCTGCATTGTGTTCCCCAGCCGCCGAGAGCCGCGCAGATGGCAAACACCTCGGGCTCGCGCGCTCCCGGGGCCGGGCGATGTGCACCCACCAGCTCCTGGTGCGAGGCAGCACCGGTGCCCAGCCCGGCTCCCGCACTGCCGTACAAAGTGCTCCTCATCCCCCTCCTGGGTTTCCTCTCTCCCGGCCCCAGGGAAGTCAAAGGAAAAGCAGCTCCTCTGCAAGGAACAAAAGGAGCTGGCAGTGGGAGCTCTTCCCAAAAGGCATTCTCCAACCTTGCCCTGGACTCGGGTACAGTCGCCCAGAGCGGGGACAACATGGTCACACCAATGATTTCCCCGACTCTGCCCTGCACGTGGTCCCTTTGGCCAGCCGGGCATCCGGAACTCCATTCCTCTCCCGGGAACCTGCCTTCGGAGTGAGAGGGTCTCTCTCCTCTCTGGGAGATGCAGTCTCCTCCCAGCCAGCCCTTGCCTCGCCACAGCCCCCTTCTCCATGGAGACTTTTGGCTTCTGCTTCGCTCGACTTTACCTTCATTCTCGGCCAGATTTACACTACCGAGACACCTCTGAATCCTCGCTTTGATGTCTCGATAGGGAAACTCTGGTGGCCAGCATTACTAACCAAGGCTGAGATCTGCAAAAGGGATTTTCCATTTACTCTCCGGCAAACTCCAGCAAGGCCTTGGCACCCCCGTTCAAGACTCTGTCCATCTCTCCCAGTGGGAGCTGCCATCTCAGTGACACTTCTCCGCAAGAGCGATGTGATGAGAGCGATCTGGCAGATCTCTCTGGGAAGGTAAGCTCTAGAATGTGCTCAGAGCCTTTGGATTTAATTTAATACTTGGTTTAAATTAACCATTTTTAAATGCTTGCAGACAGTCTCCACAAACTGAGAGGCCCTTCGCTCCAGCGTGGAAGGAGCGCAGATTTGCCAGGGTTGGCCCTGCAGCAGTTTGCATGTCTAGCCAGTGGCTTCCCCATCGATTCTTGCGCTTCGTTTAGCAACGGATTCATTGCTGCAACAGTAGAGCAAGGAGAAGCTTTGCTCTCCTCTGCCCAGCCCTCTTCACCCATCTCAGCTCCTCAGGCATGTCCCAAAAGGAGATGGATTCCCTTGAACAACAGCAGTCTCCTTCGAGATCCACCTTTTGCCTCATCTGCTGCTAATATCTCTGCCTTAGGAGATCCATACCACTGCTCTCCCCCCAGGGACTCCCCGCTTTTACACCTTAATCTCTGCAAATTACTTCTGGGGACAGTCAGTCTGAAAGATGCTGCTCCAACACAGCTGATGGCAACGCCACCGCTTGAAACGACTGTCTGCTCAGACCTCAACACAACGTTTGCCATGAAACGTGCAGATATAAATTCATTTTAAGATACAGAAGCAACTGTGGCTTTGCTGCTAGACCTGGGAACACCTAGTCCAGACACACAATCCCCAAGACACAGGTCTCTCTGAAGTAGAGATGTTCATGGTCAGGTTTAGCTCCCGGAAACACCTGAGAAAAGAGCCACGGAAAACTCACTGAGCCCCACTCCCAAACAGGTAGAGGGGAAGGACACTTCCCACCTCTCAAATACACACAGCAGCCCCAAGAGAGGAATCCAGGCAACCTGTCACCTCTCTATGGCCTTCTGGCCCGAAAACATGCCCCAGCACATCCTCTGAGCCACGGTGACCACGCAGGTGGCCAAGAGCTGGATGACTGTGCCAGAGCAAGGAGGGCGGTTTTGGGAAAACACATAGCTTCTCATTCAGGCTGGATTCTGGGCCACTGAGCCCCCAGCTAGGGAGAGGATGCCTGCCAGGAGCCGGGGTTCATTCCCAAGCCCTCGCCAAGAAAAGGACCCCGAAGACACAGCCTCCCATCCCGCTCCGCAGAGCCCACTCCTGCGTGGCTCGCAGCCGCACGCCGGGTTTCGGCAGCGCTCACCCCTCACACCTTTCCCTCCGCCTCTGTCCAAGGGGGAAAAGCAGCGAGCTGAGGAATTTGGTGTGGGTTTTCTTTTTTTCCCCTTTTCTTCTTTTTTTTTTTTTTTTTTTTATTGTAAAGACTCAAATCCAGCAGTGTGATAAATGCATCCGAGCTACAATTAGGAAGATATATAGCATCAGAATGCGAAGGTCTGGGCAGCGTGGTGAAACGCGGGCTCTCCAGAGCCCCAGCTATGTTTCCCATTATGTAACCCTGGTCATGGGCAGACAGCCAGACTCCAAATGAAAAAGAGACTCTGGCTTGGCACCGTTTCTATTTTCCTATCCTCATTCGGGGTCAGCGCAGTGTCATACAGCTGCAGAGAAAGCTCCGGGGATTAAACCTGGGAAAGACTCCAAGACCAGGACCCGGGTTCAAGTACCAGCTGAAAGCAATAAACCAACTGCCACAGCTGGGCTGAGTTTAGACGTTCTCAAAGTCCCCCACCTCTCTCCCTTGCTAAGAACGAGAGATCGTGAACATGGCGAAGGCGGCGCGAGCGAAGGCCTCCGGACAGATAGCCCTGGCAGCCCAGGCCCTGGGCAGTCTTGACAAGCTGCCCTGGCTGGCCCCGAGCCCAGGCCGTCATTTTGGCAGCACCACTGGCCCCGGATGAGCTGCACTTTGATGCAAGCTCTGGGCCAGGCCTTTGCTCTCAGGGGGGCTGCCAGGTGGGTACAGGGCTTGTTTTATCTAGAAGCTTTGGCATGTTTGTGGCATCCTTGCAGGGTGCTTCTGTGCTTTGGGGTTTGTTTTTTTTTTTTTTTTACTGTCCCTCTTCTACACACACACTGCCATGAGGGGCACTGGGAGTGGTGGCTGCGCGGCACTGGGAAGCGGTTTCGGCGTGGCCAAGCTCCATCAGCACTGGTGGGGACCTCATGGCACGTCCTGCCACGCGTGAAACGGCACAGGCTCCTTACTTGGTCTGCAACTTGGCATCTGCGCTCACTCCTCGTGTGCTCTCCCTGCTCCTGAGCTCACCCTGCCCATAAACCTTGGCTTACTCCAACACGCCTGCTGCTCTGACCCATGGATTACTTTTAAACTTCTTTGAAGCTGCTCCTATCTAAACCCCCCGGACTCGGTGACTCTACCTGGTTACTGAACAGCCCCAGGCCAGACAGCAGGCTTGTGTCAATACTTGTGTCAACAGAGAGCTGAAACACTAACCCGCTGCTCCTCTTTTCCTTCCCCACCTCCAGGGAAGACATTGTTAAGCCTCAAGTCATGCCCAAGAGTGGGGCTGGTTCCTGGGAAGGGAAGCTCTAGGGAAGCTCAGCTACCACTGTCCCAGAGTCCCAGACCACCAACACCCAGCCAAGCAATACTGGGTCAACACAAAAGATCGGGGCTGAAGGGGCGGCCAGTCTCCTCGCTGAGGAGAAGACAGATGCTCCTGGTGAGCCAGTAAGCACCAGGGTGGAAGGACCTGGGAGTCAGCATGAGGAAGGCTCATGGTGAGCCAAAAACCAGCAGGGTAGACAGAGCTGGGAGCCAACACGAGGAAGGCTGCCCATAGCCCAGACTATGGGAACGGTGGGACAAGAGGGGCTGCTCAGCCACCCTCCATGGAGAGGGAGAGGTGGGGAAGAAGTTGGGCCTCTGCTACACGATGAAGACTTTTGCTCCTCCACCAGGCAGACTAGGACCTTGTGGAGCAGAGCCCTCCAGGCCTTACCCACCGCTCCCAAAAGAGCCATGTGCCGCCATGCCACGGGGTGGGCTGCCATGGCCGCCTTCTCCCACCTCCACAGGCGAGCAGGAGCCCGCACCTGCTCCGGGAGCCCAGGGGGACGCAGCCCCGTGCCCTGCAGGAGGGGGAGGCAACTCGTCCCGGGGAAGGCGCCGAGCGCTGGCTGCGCGAACCCAATCAGAAATTCCATCTCAAGGCTGCCCGTCGCCAAGGGCTCGGCGGCTCCCTGCGCCGGCAGCGCGAGGGGAAGGGGGGATTGGCGCACGCGCTCTCACGTGACGGATCCCAGTTTGAGTTCCTGCCCAAAGATGGGCAGCAGTTCACATGAGCAGGCAGCGGTCCCACACCGAGCAGCCGACAAACAGAAAACAGACTCCATCTCCACAAAATGAGGCCCAGAACTTCCTGTGTGAGATTTCCATTTCCTCAGCCAAATGAAAAAGAACTGGAGTAAGAGGCAATAAACTAGGAGAGCAGGACTGGACCTGACGCACGGAGCGGGGACCCATTAATGGTTAAGCCACTTTGCTGGATTACTCTTAATGCGCCTTCCCATCACCCTGGGTTCTGGCTCCTTTGGATTAACAATAAGACGTGATTTCAGGCTCTGGATCCGGAGTACCGGAGGCAGATGGAAAATCCTGCGGGAAAGCTGCTACGGAGCATGCTCAGACACTATTTCGCATACTCCATACTTGGCCTCTTCACTCGATTTTCTGTCCAAAAATATGCAAATTGCCTAGTCCGCATTATGGACTAATGGGCTGGAATCGGCCAGCTTAGAAAATTAACCCTTTTGCACGTCGCAGAAGTAGAGACAAGCTGTTCCTGAAGCAGAAGGGAGGCGACTCTTGGAGCTCCAGGAACAGATGAGCTGCTCCAGGCCAGCCCAGCCCGACCAAGGTTGGCCTGATTCAGTCAAAAAAAAAAAAAAAAAAAGGCAACGGAATGCTCACGCTGGAAATGGACTTCCCTCTCACAGAGAGGAAGGTCCTGCCTGTTCAGCTGCCTGGGCCAGCAAAGCGCGTAAAGGAGACGTATCCCAACAAAAGCAGGCACACATCCTAAGCGGAAGGTAAAAATCCAGCTCGTGGGACATTTTCTAACAGATGGAAGCACTGGGCATCCACCAGGCACCCTCAGAGACACTTCACCCCCCCCCCCCCCCCCCCCCCCCACAAAAACTGTGTCACCAAGGGTGACAAGTTCCCCCAAACACCCCCTGCGTGGTGATTCTCTCCTGCGTGCCCACGTCAGAGTGCCACAGCCAGGAGCAAGCATGAGCGAGGGGGAAAAGCGGCACAAGGAGCCCAGGGAGGGAGCAGACACCAAAAGACAGACCAAAGGATGCACGTACTGTTTGGGGAGCTCGAGAGAGATTGGAGGAGGATTCCAGGTGTCCGGGTGGCCAAGCATCCAGTCCGACCAGACCTTCACACTGGGGAGCAGCTCCTTCAGGTCCTGGGGCAAGGCAGAGACCTTGATGTCGTCCTCCTCATCCTCCTGCTCCACCTCTCGAGCCTGAACTGCAAATACAAGATGTGAGAGCTGAGGCAACTCCCCACAGCCAGGCTCAGGCAGGGACTGGGGATGCACAACACAGATGTCAACATCCCAGCCTTGGAGACACAAGGGAACAGCCAGAACCCACAGCAAGTGCAAAGACGGATCTGAAAGGGGGGGCCAAGCCACAAGCCAGGACCGTTTGTGATCCCTTTTATTGAGGGCAGCGTGGTGCCAGGGCACCAGTCGTAGAGACAGGATCCTGAGGACTGTTTTGGGATGTTTCCCAGTAGCTGGCAGAAAGCATGCCCTGCATCCATCCCTTTCTTCCAAACCTTTCTGCCTGCACACATCAGGGGCTTTCATGCCAGATGATTCAGCCATGATCTGGGCAGAGCTTGGGACACGGGGAAAACCCAAGGGCCCCAGCAGTGGGGAAGGGGTGTACAAAACAGCAGGGAAGCAGGGTCTGACCCCACCAGGCTCCCTCGCAGGCAGCTGAGTGGATCCTGCCCGTAACTCCTTACCTTGCAGGCACTCCCTCAGCAGGCTGGTGCACCTCCTCACCAAGAGCGCAAACATGGAGAGCCCCAGAGCCGTGGCCTGTTCCTGGATGACAGAGCGGCAGTCTTCAGAGATGCACTCTAGAAGACAGAGAGAGGGGTCAGCAGGGAGCCGGTCCGATATTC